AAAACGCGGAGGTAATCCACAGCCAATGAGACTCATCCAAAGCTTCCGGGAAGCAGTTGAAGCAAGTGGTTTGAAGGATTTTGCCTTTGATGGTCACCAATTCACATGGGAACGCTCTAAAGGTACCCCCCTATGGATTGAAGCTAAACTTGATAGAATCCTCGTTTCTGATTCTTGGTGTGACCTCTTCTCTAACGCCAAAGCTTGCTCTATCACTACCCCAAAGAGTGACCATATGCCTCTCCATCTTCAAATTTTACCACTTCCTATTCCAAACCCCAGCAATCGTTTTCGCTTTGAGAACCTTTGGCTCCGAGATGCTAATTGTCGTAACATCATGATTGAAAGTTGGTCGAAAACCCAGGGCCAAAATCTCATGGGCAGGGTGGGTAGATGCGGTAAAGCTATCTGGATTTAGGGAAAGGAATTCGCACGAGATTTCCAGAAATGGTTGGACTATTGGAGAAGACATATGGAGTCAACTAAACACAGAAGAGATCAACACGACATATTCCTTTTTAATGAAGCTCAATCTCAATATCTTCGTACTCTACAGCAACAAATTGATTATTGGCGGCAACGAGCAAAACAGTTTTGGTTGAAAGATGGTGACACTAACTCTGGCTTCTTTCACAAATCGGTTAGACGGAGACAACAAGCCAACCGGATTACCAAGCTTAAGGACAACGAGGGCAATTGGATTGAAGGAGGTACTAATCTGGGCACCCTTATTACTTCATACTTTCATGATTTATTTAGAGCCCTACTGTGGGAAATATGTGCTTTGTTATTGACTTCATTGAGCTTTTGATTTTTGATGTGCATAATGTCTCTTTATGTAAAACTGTAACAATTCAAGAGGTAAAAGATGTTATTTTTGATATGAAACCTGATAAATCCCCGGGACCCGATGGCCTTAATTCGAGATTTTTACAGCATTTTTGAGATATCTTAGGCAATGAACTTTTGCAATTCTGCTCCAATTTCTTTCTTTGCGGGAACCTGTCTGAGAGCCTAAACAATACCCATATGGTCCTAGTTCCCAAAAAATCCAAACCAGATTGCATGGGTGACCTAAGACCTATTGCTCTTTGTAATACCCTCTATAAGCTTCTCTCTAAGATTCTTGCCAACCGCATAAAACCTTTACTTACCAGAGTTGTATCTGAGTCTCAATCAGCTTTTGTCCCGGGCAGACTTATCTCTGAAAATATCATGTTAGCCTATGAAATCAATCACTATCTCAAGAGAAAAAGCCAAGGAAATGTGGGTTTTGTGGGTGTCAAATTGGATATGAGCAAAGCGTTTGACAGAGTTAGCTGGGCCTTTCTCTTAGCAGTCTTAACTAGATTGGGATTTTCTAATCACTTTGTTAATCTGGTCAGGGAGATGATCACAACTATTAGATTCACTATTCTTCTTGAAGGAAAAGCTATTGGTACAGTTATCCCAAATAGAGGCCTAAGACAGGGCGATCCTATTTCACCATACCTCTTCATCCTTATCCTTGAATCCTTCCACCTTTTGATCCAGAAATCCCAAAGATCGGGAACCCTCCATGGAATTTCCATCGCTAGAAGAGCCCCAACCATCACCAATCTTTTCTTTGCCGATGATTGCTACATTTTCTGCAAAGCGACCCCTTCAGAAGCTACCACTCTTAGGAACATCATTGAATCCTTCAATATAGCCTCAGGCCAAACAGTCAACTACTCTAAATCTACCCTTACCTTCAGTAAGAACACAAATTTCATCTCCAAGGACCCCTTTTGTAATATAATGGGAATTAGAGAAGGAAACTTGAATGGAAATTATCTTGGTCTTCCCTCAGTTATTGGCAGAAATAAGCGTGAAATACTTGGATTCATAAAAGATAAAGTTGTTGGCCGAATTAAAAGTTGGACTCATCGTTTCCTCTCAAGAGCCGGAAGGGAGATTCTAATAAAAAATGTGATACAAGCTATACCAACATTTGCAATAAGCGTCTTTCTTCTACCAATTGAGATGGGAAAGGACATTGAAAGAATCATGAACAGCTTTTGGTGGGGTTGTGATGGGGAGAACAATAGGGGTATTCGATGGAAAAGTTGGGAGAGATTAAGCACCCCTAAACGTTGGAGAGGTTTGGGCTTCAAAAGAATAAGGGATTTCAATATTGCAATGTTGGGGAAACAACCGTGGCGTCTCATTCAACAACCTAATTCCTTGCTGTCAAGAGTATATAAGGCCAAGTATTACCCGAACTCTTCTTTTCTTAATGCTCAAACGGGAAGTAACCCATCTTTCATTTGGAGAAGCATTATGGAGTCCCAAATTTTTCTAAAAAGGAGTTGTAAGTGGAGAGTGGGTGATGGGAACTCTATTAATGTCTAGACTGATCCATGGCTTCCAAACAATGACTGCCCTTTTATTCAATCAATCATGCCAGCCCATCTCAGCGAGATGAAAGTGGCCTCCCTCATCAATCATACAGGTTCTTCATGGAATATCTCCCTCATTGACTCCATATTTGATCAGCCCGATAGGGAGCAAATCAAGAGCATACCTCTTCCTGAAATCACCATTTCTGATAAGATTATCTGGATGGAGGATGACAAAGGCACTTATTCAGTTCGAAGTTGTTATAGAAGCTTAATGGAAAATATGAACCCTGCTCAAATTCCCTTCTGGACAAGATTTTGGAAGTTCTTTCTGCCACCTAAAATCAAATCTTTCTTCTGGCAGCTTTGCTCAACATCCCTTCCCACATATGATAACTTGAGAACAAAACATGTTCAGGTGCCTCACATTTGTCAGCTTTGCAACACTGAAGATGAAACTGCTTTCATCTGTTTGTTAGATGTCCTTTAGCAAAATGTTGTTGGAACTTGCTGGGGGGTTTTGATTATCAATCTAGTAATTCCCTCTTTGGATGGCTTGAACAGATATTTACTAACTTGGATGAAAAGGGAATTTGTCTGCATATTTCGGTTTGTAGGAAAATATGGGAGGCTAGGAATGAAAAATTATGGAATCACAAAATTCTTACTACATCCTATATCTGTCAGTATGCAAGCACTTATCTATTTGAATGGTCTAATGCAAATCTTACTATTAACTCCACTGCCAGGGCCCCAGATTATAATGAAGCTTGGACCAGACCTCCTCCAGGCATGCACAAACTCAATGTCGGCGCTGCACTTGATGTTGCTAACAAGAAGATGGGCTTCGGATTTGTTCTTCGTGATTCCACTGGTTCGCTGGTTGCAGCTCGACGTCTCCCATGGTTTTCTATTTTCAAGCCGAATGAAGCTGAGGCAATTGGAGTTCGTGAAGCATTGAAGTGGATCAAGAGCTTAAGAATTGACAATCTGCAGTTGGAGAGTGATTGTCTCCAAGTTATTAACAGCTTATCCCATGCGCATGATTTATTTTCTTCTTTTGACTTAATTGTTAATGATGTTAGGAAAATAGCTTCAAATTTTAGTAACTTATGCTTTTTGTTTGCAAAGCGGTCTGCGAACAGGGTTGCCCATTTGTTAGCTCGGGAAGCCCTTTCTATACCTGACTGTTCAGACTGTTCACTGTCTCCTTTTCCTTCCATTGCTCATGCTTTGAGCATGGACTCTACTTAATATAGCTTTCGTTCTTTTGCTTAAAAAAAAAAAAACAAATTCAACATGTCATTTTCTTTTCTTTTTTATATTTTTTTTAATCTTATGTGTTGCTAGTCTGACAATTGGGCAACTATTGTGCCAGCACAAGTCTTGTACGTTTTTATTATACTAGTATTCTACTCTTGTTATGCACGGTATAGAATTTAAATAGTTTTATTGTTGATAAAATTTTAAAATATAAAATGATATAACAAGCACTAATTCTAAAAATTCATTGCAAAATATATTTTTTGTCTTGCAATATTGAATTTTTTTTATTATATCGATAGTCACAATATTTTACGAAAAAATATTATAAAACATTGTGTTATTGATTACAATATGGGATTTAAAAATTTTAAAATTAAATAATTCAAATATACTTATAATATAAATATAATTATGCAAATTATATAACATAAAATATTAATATGCATAATCCATATATATATATATATATATATATATATATATATATATATAAAACATAGTGGCAATTTGATATTTTTGTGTTTAGGTCAAACTTAAGGTGCGTAGTTTTTCCTTCTTAAGGAGTTAAGGTGCGTTGTTTTCCTTCTTAAGGTGCTATGTTTTCCGTTTTAAGGTGCGTTGTTTTCCTTCTTAAGGTGCATTGTTTTCCTCTTAAGGTGCATTGTTTTCATTCTTAAGGTGCGTTGTTTTCCTTCTTAAGGTGCACAATTTTTTACAGTTTGTTTCTTTAGTTGAGGAAGGTAGGTTTTATTGCTTATGGGTGGCCAGCTCTGGTGTTGTCTTCTTAAAATCAATTTTGTCAACTTTTACCTCACCATCAATTAATTCATAAACATACACGACAACTCGTAAGCCATCGATGTCCATGAGAACAAAACTGGGGTTACACATTATAAGTAGCACTGCTGTGAGCGCCAGTAGCAGATCCTGGGTTTATAACTAATTAACACCTTTTTTTTTTTTTTTTTTTTAATTTTCAATTTTCATTATTCATTTTTGGAGGGTTTTAGAACAGTAAAAAACAATAGCATGGTTTTTAACTGGTTTGGGACAAGGTTTTTGGGAGAATTTTGTCCCTGCAAATGCTTGGATTTTGTCAAAAAAAAAAAAAGAAAAAGAAAAATAGAGACTGTGATAATTTTTATGTATCTTTAATTTTTAATTTTAACCGCTTTGTAATTTATTAATTTTTAAACCGCTTTGTAGTTTAATTTTTAAATTATAGATTTTTTTTTCATTTTAATTAATTAGGTGTACATATGTTTATTTCAATTATTTTCTATTACAATTATAAGTTAAAGTAAAGTTTCTAGCCAACTTTTTATTATTTTGTTTTACAATTCCAGTATGTATGTTTATTTACAATTCCAGTAGGTATGTTTATAGAGAGTATGATAACGTGGTGGTTGCAGCCTGCAGGACCTGGCGACTAACAGACCACACAGTCACTCCTACGGCTGTGTGGAGAGGATGGCTATGGCTGTGTCATGGTCGCCACCCACCACATTTTCACCATCGCCTAAGTTCAAATCATTAGGACGGCGCCATTGCCGCTGCTCTGCAATTTCCCAAGCAGATGGATCTTCCTCGCAGCCTACCACTTCCTCTACTTATCGCCCTGCTGTCATTCTTCCAGTTAGTCTCTCTCTCTCTATATGTGTGTGTGTGTGTGTTGGTGTACTCGATAAACTAGCTTAATACTTGATAATGGTGCTCCATCAATAACAAATTAAAAGCGTTTTTGGCAGGAAATTTTTTTGTCCTTTTTCATGTAAAAGTTCAATTAAAGTGGTGAATAGTTGGTTTGTTGGACAGGAGTGATGAATTCTTCTTGGGATTGTTCGGGTGGTCGTAATTTTGTGTGGAGAAAAATGGGTTTCAACATGTTTTAAGCATATTTCTAATTTTCTATGGCACTGGCTACTGATAGAGTGAAATATTTTGTATTGGGAATGGGAATTTCTTGTTTGCTGCAGGGACTAGGAAACAATTCCAACGATTATCAGAAATTGGCTCTCATATTAAAGGACTATGGAATTCCATCAGTGATTGCAAAGGTTTCAAGAATTGATTGGCTGAGGAATGCTGCAGGTTTGGCAGATGCAAATTATTGGAGAGGAACACTCCGTCCTCGGCCCGTTCTTGATTGGTATATAACCTTATTGCCATTGCGATCTTCCTAGTTATCCAAGTTTAAGCTAAGTGTTCTTTAAATATTTGTTTTCAGGTATTTCAAAAGAATTGACGATGCTATCAGTGAGGCAAAGAATTTGGGTCAAGGTTTGTGATCTATGTCTATACTTCTTAGCTTTACATTATTGTAGTTATATTGGTTGAGATATCCGGTTCCACAATTGACAAAATCCTCTCACATTGGTCGACATATCCGGTCCTTTCTATTTGTTGTTAGTATATGTTACAGTCTCATAATCTAGCCAATGTTTGTTGTAGGTGGGAGTGGGGCTTTATCCTTTATTGGCCATTCCGCAGGAGGATGGCTAGCACGTGTTTATATGCAAGAGTTTGGGCTATCTGGCATCACCCTGTTACTGACTCTGGGGACCCCTCACCTGTATATATAACTACTAATTAATCTATATATGGTTCACTTTTGAGCCTGTGTACTTCCTTGTTTATGTTTGTGATAGATACATGTTTCACAGAATGCTGTGGAGCTAGGTTTTGGTCAAACGTGTGATGTTGAAATGTTTTTCCTACCAGCCCACCACCTAAAGGCTTGCCGGGAGTCATTGACCAAACAAGGGGCCTATTGGATTATGTTGAAAAGCATTGTGCAAAGGCTGTTTATACTCCAGAACTTAGATACGTATGTGTAGCAGGAAGGTAATTTACTTTCTTCTCCTTCTCCCAAATTCTGCTTATTGAACCAGTGAGTTAAGTCGATCAGTGCGGGTAGCCGGGTAGGCAATTTACTTTCTTGTTCATGTTGTGACTTGATCATCCATCCAAGGTGGTACAAGCTTTTGTAGAAAGCCAGGACATAGCTAGTCAATGAACTATTTGAACTTTTTTTTTGAATACTATTGACCCTATTACAAGGTAGTATCTGTTCTATACTTTCTCTATCTAATGCAGCCCAAGAGTCAAGACCCCACCACCGGGGTTCGATCCTATAACCTTCCCTCAAGGGGAGCCATAGAGGTGCCATCTGAGCACAAGGTGCTTGGCACTATTTGAACCTTATATGCTCTTCCTGTAAGCCAAATCCATTTGGGGGTCTCTTAAGTCTTGACTGAATCCTTGAAACGTTCTACTTTCACATATTGCTAGAATAACCAACATGCCTGTTATAAATTTACAATCGATAGCATTTCTTTCTGATGCATGTCCGGCGAACTCTAGATGAACTAAGAACAGACTAAAATTGTTATTTCTTATAGAGGTTAAGTTTAAACATGATATATGTGCTTAGTTCATCTCAGCTGCAACTAAAGATTGCAGTTTTGTCCTAGTTGATCAGTTAGAACTGAAGGTGCATGCATATATACCAAGGAAACGTTGTGTTTTAACAAAATAAGACTGGAGTTTATGTTCAATTCATCTTGTACTCTACTTCCGGAACTGTTGAAAATTGGAAGCTGAATGGTCATCATGACTACAGGTACATTCAGGGCGAACGTTTCCTTGGCTCCGATACAAATTATGGCTCCACGGTTTTGGTTGATGTTAACCAGCCATTGCCTGATACTGCTGCTCTAAGAAGTATGGACACATCTACTGCAACACCTAATACTTTGCAAGCACGATTTGTTGGTCAAGGCTACAAACAGGTAACCCTCTCTGAAATAAAATTTGATATAAAAATTATTGAACCTTTCTCTGATGACCAGTGTTCTCATCTGGTTGGCCTACCTTTGATTATCGATTTAATATCAAATTTAGTCCTCAATTATAATTGTTTTTCTCGATTTAGTCATTGATTCTAATAGCCAAATACTCAATTAGGTAAAAACCCATCAAAGGCAATGACCTAATTAAGCACAAAAAATTGTTTAAGAACTTAATCGAGAAAAATCACTATAATCTATGACTAAATTGAATATTAACTCTTTGATTATCCTTTGGTTTCTACCTTTCAACTCATTTTCTTCGTTTCCATGTTTATATTCCCATAAAGAAACTGGAATACTTTTCCTTGAAGATTCTGATTCTTGAGCATATAATATAATATATAAACGTAAACATGTACAATCCAACTATCAGCTTAGACTTTTAGTTGAGATTGAACACATGCTTCAAAAAGGCCATTGGTTCGTGTGAGGGGACGTATTGAGCATATAATATATAAACATAAATGTGCAATAATCCAACTATTAGTTTAGACTTGAGTAAATACCTAAAATGGTCCCTCGACTATAGCTAAATTCACAAATTGGTGGCTTTCAAAAAAAAAAAATTCACAAATTGGTCCTTGACTTTCAATTTTAACCAATTAAGTCCTTAACTTTGTAATTTTAACACGATTTGGTCCTCCGTCTATTTGATCGTTTGTTGACTGTGATTTTTGAGGATATATATGTAATTTCATGGTCCATCGTCGATTTTTTAAGGTTCCGGTTGTATTTTTAGACCACACTGTTACATTTGGATCCACCGCCAAAAGCAATCTGCCAAATCCTGTCGCCTTTCTTCATCCTCCCTTTGGGTTCAATGTAGTTGAGTTCGTACCAGAGTGAAGAAGACAACGTGTTTCCGAACCGGTGCAGCGTCATCTTAGAGGCCTCCATGTGTTCCGATGAGAGCTGCAGGTTCTTTTGGAGATGGTCGATGACGGCGCGGGCGCGAGCGTTAATGCAGAAGTGTTCGAAGGACCAAATCGTGTTAAAATTGTAAAGTTAAGGACTTAATTGGTTAAAATTAAAAGTTGAGGATCAATTTGTGAATTTAGCTATAGTTGAGGGACTATTTTGAGTATTTACTCTTTAGACTTTTGGTTGAGATGAAACATATGCTTCAATTACCCTATGTCGAAGGTCATGGGTTCATGTGAGGGACGTATTGAGCATATATAATATATGAACATAAATGTTCAATTCAACTATTGGCATAGACTTTTAGTTGAGATGGAACACATGCTCCAATTTTGACTATTATAGAAGTTTCAGGTTTGTGGGCAAGCTGATGTTTGGGGTGATGGAGTTGTGCCTGAAATCTCAGCACACCTGGAAGGCGCTCTTAATATAACTCTGGATGGAGTTTACCACTCACCTGTCGGTTCCGATGACACCACGAGGCCATGGTATGGCTCTCCAGCCATTGTTGAAAAATGGATCCCACATCTCCTTAACTAATCTATAAAGTAATGAACCAAGTGAAAACTAGACTGGCAGTGTAAGCTTTTGTATATGCTGTAGTTTCATTTTATATACAATGTAGTTTCATTACAACACAATTACAGTATCATTTTGATATAACTACAGTTTCATTTGATAATATACACTCAATATGTGAGATATGTTATTCAGTTTCTTTTTATACATACTGTAGTTTCATTTAAGCAAAAGTAAAATATTATTTCTATTAAATTACAGTTCTATTTGACATTCAATTTCATTTTATACATACTGCAGCTTCATTTTAACACAACTAAAGTATCATTTCAATTCAATTACAGTTTCATTTGATAATATAAACACAATATGCGAGACAATTTTATTTTAGATACACTGTAGTTTCATTTTGTTATGAACAAACAAAAAATACGGGATCATATGATTATGGCACATTAGTTGAGAATTAAAATGAAGTTCGCTCATTCCAAAAATTAAAGCAAAAACTTCATAGTGTTGGGATAATTGACAAATTATATCATGGATCAGGGTTCAACTTACACCGTAGACTCTGGTTTAATGCAATATTTAAATTATGTTGTTTCAATTAACAGTATGTTATTTGCAGACATATAATATGTTAACTGCAGATATATAATATATTAAGTGTAGTAAGTACATAATTTTTTAACTGAAGACACATAATATGTTAATGAATGGCACAATTTAAATATTGTTTTGGACCAAAGTTCACAATGCAAGGTGGACTATGGTTCATGATATAACAATTGGGGATAATTTTAGGACAATCATTATTCTGTGGACTATAGTATACACAGTTGTGCAGACCACAAATAAAAAGTACATTATTTGTATACATAAATTACATTAATTGAAATTAAAGTGCATTTTTTTTTTGTATATTATCAATTAATGTATATTAGTAAACATATAATGCACTTTTATATTAAAAATGTACCATGTATTCATGGAAAGTGCAATATTTGAGTACTGAAATGTACCTTTAGTACACAAATAATGTACTTTTAATATATTAAAAATGTACATTTTTATGGCCCACACAACATTGCGTGGACCATGATCTACATAAAAACGATTGTTATACTGTGGACCATGGTCCGAAAATGACGCTGTTTCTTTAAGTAAAGAAACGATAGCTGTTAAATTTTAACAAATCCCGTACTTTTGGTATGTTCAGAACAACATGAAACTACAATGTATCTAAAATGAAACTATCTCGTATATTGTGCTTATATTATCAAATAAAACTGCAATTTGAATTAAAATGATACTTTAGTTGTGTTGAAATGAAACTGCAGTATGTATAAAATGAAATTGAATAACACGTCTCATATTGAGTGTATATTGTCAAATAAAATTGTTATTGAATCGAAATTATACTTTAGTTTTGCGGAAATGAAACTACAATATGTATAAAAAGAAACTGAATAACATGTCTCACATATTGAGTCTATATTGTAAAATGGAACTGCAGTTATATCGAAATGATACTTTAGTTGTGTTGTAATGAAACTACAGTGTATATAAAATAAAATTGAATAACCATTTCACGAAGCCTCTATTTTTTGTGTGTTCATAACAAAATGAAACTACAGTGTATCTAAAATGAAACTGTCCTACATGTTGTTTTTATATTATCAAATGAAACTGTAATTGAATTGAAATGATACTTTAGTTGTGTTGAATGAAACTGCAGTATGTATAAAATAAACTGAATAATATGTCTCACATATTTGAGTGTATAATGACGAATGAAACTATAGTTATATCGAATGAAACTGTAGTTGTGTTGAAATGAAACTACAATGTATATAAAATGAAATTGAATATCTTATACAAATAGAGTTACTTTACGTTGAACGCGCGGAACGAGTGCCGTTTCTTTTCAAAATTAAAAGAAACGGCACTCTTTTGGACCATGGTCCACGGTATAATTTGCCCACAAGAAATGACAAATTATATCGTGCACCAGAGCACACAATGCATTGTGCACCCTGGTCAAAATGATGTCATTTTGTATTTATTTTATTTTTTTAGAAATTTCGTTTCTCGTTTCTGCCGTTAACTTCTAAAAAAAATATAAATTCCCTGTTTCGAATGTACATAATTGTATAATAAAATACACATAAACTTATAACATAATACACATAATACACAAACTCTTAACATAGTATACATAAACTCTTATCTTAACATAAAAATGACGTCGTTTTGGACAGGACGCACAATGCATGTGAGTCCCGGTGCACAATATAACGGTTGCACAAGAAATTGGTAGTTTCAAATTGGGCTTGAGGTTTGTATCTAACCCTGTTCATGAAAGCCCATATAACACTATAAAACGAAGCAAAAAGCCCGCGATGCTGTCTCTGACTCTCTGAGCGACTGTGTCGTCCTCATTCATTCCGGCTAAGGTCTCTTATCCGGTTTATCATCTTCTGTATCAGACACTTCACTCTTTCTCTCTCTCTGTGGGACATGCTGTTTCCGGCGTCTTTCCGACTACTGATCGTTTCATAGGCGGCTGCTTTGGCTTCATTGACTGCTTTAATCCGTATGATAACGATAGAGTAGTGTTTGTTGCATATGAAGAAGGTCCATATGATTCTGTAGAAGGAAAATGTCTTGCTTGTTGCCTCAATTCAAGTGCTCGCCGGACACTTTCGCCGTCAAAAGAACTCCCCACCACCACCACCAATCCGGCATCCATATCCGTCAGTCTTTATCTCCCTCAATTATATAGAGTCGTGAGGATGAATTGTTGAACTGACTAGCTAGTTAGCGTTGTTCATGTTGAATGCCAGCGTTTAATCTTGTCGGTTTGCATTTTTATTGAATTGTGTTGTCAAATGGGTTGCAATTGTGTGAACTTTAAGTTGATTGCTTTAGATTTCAGCTGAATAACATGATTGCTTGCTTCATTGGATAAAGAGTTTTACTTCTTATATCCAGCTGTGGATTTTTCCAACTTCTAAACTGACCTTATCAGTTCATACATTCTTCAAATAGCAGGCCTAATTTCTCTAATTATGCACAAATCAGGCAGTTTTTCTTCCCCTCAATCCTTAAGATATCAGGAACATTTTACATCCAGATGTGAATTTTGCAGACTTGCAAGATGGCCTCATCAGTTTCCATGATTCCTCATATCTGATGCATAATTTCATTAATTAAGGCATAAATCTAGCAGTATTTTTTTTTTCAAATCACAATATATTGTTGTTGCCAGTTCTGGTGCAGAATGTCAGGTGAAATATTTGGGAAGACAGACTAGATTTATGATTTTAGATCCTTTGAGAAGAAGAATATATGAACCTGAACTTTGACTAGTGGTGGGACTTGATATAATTTTTCAGAAAGAATGTACTCCCTACTACTTTGGTATATTGTCATTGGTAATGAAAATGTTTTGGAAAATATACCTTCATGTTAATTATCACTTGCAAAGGTTGACAAATCGTATATTTTAAACATGCTTGAATTGTTTTTTCTGCACTCTAAATCCTTTAGCAATTAATTCGATGGGATGCTTGTAGTTTAGTTTTCTTAGATTACTATCAGGCACCCCTAGTTACATTCTGTACCAAACCAGTTTGTCTTTTAAAGATATTCCTTATGTGTCCTCATCAACAATACCTGGAAGTGGTAGATGCTAAGAATGACAAGTTTATAATGAAGTTCCTATACATTAGAAGTCGATTATTAGAGTGCCTTGAACGCTGCTTTCTATATCTGTTTATTTGGTGTTACTGAATTGCAGCTAAGGTTAGGCACCCTGTTTATTTTCGGACGCAATGCATCTTATCAACTGCATCTCCATCAGCATCAACAGCAACAGCGACTGTGCTCGAAATTGAGAAGCTAGAATTACCATCTTTAGATCTTTGCTCAGATTCTATTGATGGAGATCGATCATGGAATCCACCAACATCAGCGGTGACTACTTCTATGCTTGACATGGAGAAGTTAAATTTACCATCTTTTGAGGATTACTCAAATTCAGTTGCTGCAGATCGACTGTGGTCGTACACTGGTGCAGTTGGCCCGCCTACAGAGGTCAGAAAGTTATATTCATATGGTACACAACTATAGAGACCTAATCTATTGGAGGATCCCAGTTCCTAAAATTATTTCATCTGGATCTAATTCTCGGCCTAAACAACAATATCGCCTGTTATGTGAACTATATTGTCTTAGTTACTTTCACCTGATGACAAAAATAAATTATTGATGTGATGTTCTTGTAGGCAAACTCAAAAACTGCTTTTCCCGCGGAAACTCTACTCACTAGTGAAGAGGCTGTTATAGCCGCAGCTGCATCTGAAGCAGTTGCTTTAGCAAAGGCTGCACTGAAGGTTGCAAAAGATGCAGCCTTGTTGGTTGGTGGTCATAATTCGTCCAAGTTAGATGATAAGCATATAGATACAGCAGATAGTACCCTGTTTGATAGGGCTCGGTTGGTTGAACCTGGTGAAAAAGTAGGCGAGGCAAAGATAAATGGAATCAGTTGTAACGGAAGTAATGTCTATGATTACCACTACACAAAATCTGATGATGGGGAGCCCACACATGAAGAGCTGGAACTTCTCCAAGCTCAGCTTTCAAAGAATATAGCTGTCAGATCCGAACGTCAAAAAGAACGAAAAGCTAGAAGGGCTAATGCAGCAGAGAGGGCTGCAGCCAATGATGTGTCTGTGAAATCTGGATCTGCCCGCAGGAAAAAGCGTGCTACTGTACAAGACATAGATTTCTCTGATCCGTTGCGATACTTGAGGGCAACTACCAGTTCTGCTAAACTTCTTACAATATCTGAAGAGCAGCTGTTTTCAGAAGGAATACAGGTGCTTTAGGTTCTAATATTTTCTTTTGTGCTTATATCTGCTCATCATTTCATGTTACTAATCATAACAATTTATGTGCTGCTTCTCTACATCTGACATCATCTTTTATTCACTAAAAACTATGTAGGACCTAAAAAAATTAGAAAGTCTCGAGGAGGAGCTTAAAGAGCGATGTGGTGGTCAGCCCACTTTTGCACAATGGGCTGCTGCGGCTGGAGTTGATCAGAAAACCCTA